GCACTTCAATGAGACAAACAATTCCATGGCATTCCTGTTTTTCAGCTGAATTGATTGCTCAAAAGTGGCACATTTACTTGCATTTACTAGAGAGGTTTGCAACATAGTACATAGAACAAGCTAAAGAAAGATCAAAAGCATTAATGCTTCAAATCTATCAGTAAAGATACCCTGTGGGCGCAGCCGCATTTTTAAAATCGCCTCAGCAACTAGTCGTTTGGAAGCAGAACTGGCTTGAAGGTAGGAGACAGAGGTTGGTAGTGGAGGGTCACTTTTCAGACTGGAGGCCTATGACCAGTGGTGTGCACAAGGATTGGTGCTGGGTCCACTGCTTTTTGTCATTTATAAATGATGTGAACATAGGAGGTATGGTTAGTGAGTTTGCAGATGACACCAAAATAGGTGGTGTGGTGGACAGCCAAGAAGGTTATCTCCGAGTACAACGAGGCCTTGATCAGATGGGCCAATGGGCTGAGGAGTGGCAGATGGAGTTTAATTTAGATAAATGTGAGGTGCTGCATTTTGGAAAGGCAAATCAGGGAAGGACTTGTACACTTAATGGTAACATTCTGGGAAGTGTTGTTGAACAAAGAGACCTTGGAGTGCAGCTTCATAGTTCAATGAAAGTGGAGTTGCAGGTAGACAGGATAGTAAAGAAGGTATTTGGTTTGCTTGCTTTATTAGTCAGTGCATTGAGTATAGGAGTTGAGAGGTTATATTGCAGCTGTACAGGATATTTGTTAGGCCACTTTTGGAATACTGTGCTCAATTCAGGTCTCCCTCCTGTAGGACAGATGTTGTGAAACTTGAAATGGTTCAGAAAAGATTTACAATGATATTGCCAGGGTTACAGGATTTGAGCTATAGAGAGAGGCTGAATAGGTTGGGGCTATTTTCTCTGGAGTGTCAGAGGCTGAGGGGTGACCTTATAGAAGTTTATAAAATCATGAGAGGCATAGATAGGGTAAATAGACAAGGTCTTTTCCACAGTTTGGGGGGAGTCCAAAACCAGAGGGCATAGGTTTGAGGTGAGAGGGGAAAGATTTAAAAGGGACCTGAGGGACAACATTTTCCACACAGAGGGTGGTGTATGCATGGAATGAGCTGGCCAAGAAAGTAGTGGAGGCAGATACAATTACAACATTTAAAAGGCAACTGGATGGGTATCGGATTAGAAAAGGTTTAGAGGGATATGGGCCAAATGCTGGTAAATGGGACTAGATTAATTTAGGATATCTGGTTGGCAAGGATGAGTTGGACTGAAGGGTCTGTTTCTATGCTGTACTGCTCCACAACTCTATGACTCTATGAAGCATCTAAGGATGTTGTATAACATCCAAAATGTTGAACTGTGACATTTCTACACTAAAAGTAGATTCCAAGTGTAAACTGCAATTACTGAATTTGAAAACATAGGAGAAAAGAATTCAACGTTTGAGACTCAGATTCAGAGATGTACTCAGCTGACTGCATAAACCCTCTGATTTGGTTTCATTGTCAGTCCTCAGTAAGTAGCAGCTCAGCCTTTTAAAAGTAATCCATTAAAGTAAATTAGAAATCAGAAGAGATTACAACATTTTCTTGAGCATGAAATGGCTAAAGTGCAGAACTGCTGGAGAAACTCAGCAGGTCTGTCATCATGTGCGGAGACAATCAGAGTCAATGTTTCGAGTTTAAACGGAATTCTGGAGAGTCGTAATGGACATGAAAGCTTAACTCTGTTTCCGATCAGGGCTCCTTCAGAAATACAGTGCCATACTTCAAATGCGACAGGGCCTCATAGTGAAGGATAGTCAGGGAAAGCAAACATTGCACAAAAACAGAAGTTGCTGGAAAAGCTCAGCAGGTCTGGCAGCATCTGTGAAGAAAAAATCAGAGTTAACATTTCGGGTCCAGTGACCCTTCCTCAGAACATTGCAATGCTGAGGATTCCTCAACAAAGCAAACATTGCTCTCTTTTTCACAGCAGTCAGTTGCTTTGTTCTTTGTTCTTCTAGCATTACAGGTAGCTATTTTGGCAACTCCTGTGAAAGGGCAATTATGGAAGTGTGGTCAGGGTGCCGGGAGGCTAAAGTGAACCTGCCAAGTGGGCAGAATGCCAGGTGGGTAGATTTCCAGGTAGGCAGAGTACTGGGGTTCCAGGGCACAAGGAGCAGGGGCCCAGGTAGGTGCTATTGTGCTTGGGGTGGGTGGGAGACATCTGGTCATTAGGCAGTAATCAGGAGTGGGGGTGGTCACAGCTCCCTCACGGCGTGTGTGTGTATATACTTTAATACTTCACCTTTTAACAATCTAACTTTTCCTTAATATCTATTTACTTAACTGCAGCAGAACCCTCCAATTTAAATGGATATTTTTGGATGGATTGCAGGATTAGGGGATTAGCCATCAGAATCTTCAATTTCCTGGGCATTTCTCCTGGACTCTGCAATGTTGGGGATTCCTCAGAGTCCCAATGTGCGATTGCTATCTATATTGCAGAAATGACCATCTGGCCATCAGAAAACCTGGGCCTAGATTACCATTCCTTCATTATTGCTGGGTCAAAATGATCAAACTCCACTCTAGCAGAACTGTTGGTGTACCTAATCTATAATAGGCAGTTAGGGATGGGTAATTAAGGCTGGCCTAGCCAGTGATGCCTAATTCCATGAATTAGTAAAAAATTACACACATAGCAGGAGTCTACACACAGAACTCATTTACACTTTCCCACTATTTGTGTCCTCTTCAGTAAAGGGCACCTTTTTGAAAAGGAAAAGCAGAAACTAAGAGAAAAAACATTCAAAAACTAGAAAACGTCTGGGGAAGTTTCCCTTTAATCACTGCAGGCAATCATACACATTAATGATAACCGTTTTCTCTCATCTACTTTCTGTAACTCAAGCTCAGAAACACACCCAGGCACCTTACAGAGAATTCATATGTATTATTCATTCTGGCCATATTTTCACAGGTCAATCTTTCTGAATATATGTTTTATCATTATCTGATTCAACTGCGCCTAGTTCTCCCAACCTGATTCAGCTCAAACAATCCATTTAGGAGCCAGTACCTAGTCAGAACTGCTTCCATTAATGACTACCCTTGCTACTTTTGTTTGATCACTGATCTATCACAGTTCCCTCAGTCGCCACCAAATGTTGTTGTACAACCCTTTCTTTGTATATCCTAAATATTTTCTGAAAATTACAACTTGATATTTTTGTTTTTAACTAAAATTTTAACATCTAAAATAAGTTTTAACAACAATTTAAGAAGGTTTCTTTTAAACGCACATGACCAAATGTCTCATTGAATTGTTTTTCAAATAGTTTATTATCTTCAGTAGAGCTTTTACTTTTAGGCTTCAGCCTCTCAATGTTAAGGATTATTCAGAGCCCTGACTGATTGTTAAATGTAAATGAGCAGTCTGAACATAGGTAAACTCGCCAGTCTCAGAGGACCATAGGGCTGCTCTCTCATTAGACAGAGACAATTGGTGGTGAGTTTAACCCAACAAGGGGCAAGGTTCAGCAGGCAGGACCTTTGTGGTGGCATAAATCCAATTCCCAAGGTTGCTTCAGTATCATTTAAGTTGTTGAACAGTTGCATGTTTTTATTAGCTTTTGGCTGATTTTTGCTTAGTGTTTTTTCTAAAATTGCTGGACATGAGGGAAAAAGAAATACAGGGAGATGCCATGATACAAAGATATAAGAAAAATGGCTAGATTTAAGGAGGAAGAGATGAATTAATATCGCCTTTCCATTCCCACTACCTCCATAAAGCTCAAAAAGGACTAGGAAAAATTCATTTATCAAGCTCTTTGGGCAGGCTGTTGTCCAACCTCTGAAATAATGTTAGTGTTTGCTATAGCTAGCCCAGAGTGTATGGGAGCATATGGTGTGCATATTGAAAGAATGCCATGATGTGGAAGTGCCGGTGTTGGATTGGGATGAACAAAGTCAGAAGTCACATGATACCAGGTATAGTCCAACAGATTTAAAATCACAAGTTTCTGGAGCGCTGCCCCTTCGTCAGGTGAAGTAACAGGTGAAGAAGCAGCAACGCTCCAAAAGCTTGGGATTTCCAATTAATCCTTTGGACTACAACCTGGAGTCGTGTGACTTCTGTTACTGAAAGAAGGGAGCAGGGCAGATGGATAAGATGGCTAGTAAGGTATAAAGGGTACTTGCCTTTATTAGCCAAGGCATAGAATGCACGAGAAAGGAAGTTACGCTGGAACTAAATAAAACACTGATTAGGTCATAACTACATGCAGTTTTGGTCACTATATTACAGAAAGGATGTGACTGCACTAGAGAGGGTGCAGCGAAGATTTATCAGGATGCTGCCAGTGCTGGTGGATCTGAGCTATAGAAAAGATTGGATAGGCTGTTCGAGTTAGAAGCTCTCGAAACATTTAAGCAGTATTTAGATATTCATTTGCATTGTCATCGGCTCCAGGGGTACGGGCCAATAACTGGAAAATAGGATTAGTGCAGTCAGATCTTTGTTGTTCAGCATGGACACACTGGGTTGAATGGCTTCCTATGCTGGAAATGTCTAAGTACATTTTAACAGTAGTTAAAGCAACAAAGAGAAAGATTTTAGGACACAAAGATCAACAGGCCATATAATGACTGTAATCATCACCTGTGAAAATTAGTTATTTGTAATTAATGTGAATTTATGTTGTAAATGCTACCATAGTAAAGACTGTGTAACATTATCTAATCCACTAAGTAGCAACTGGCCTTTCCCTGAAGTCCATTTTCCAAGATTCATTAAAAAATACTAGAAGCAAAGTAATGATCCAAATAAATAATATTCTAGAGATTAATAACAATCTTAGAATTTCTATGAAACAGCTAATTACTTGTTTATAAATTGAATCATACCTTAGCATTCAGAATATCACAAGAGGAAAGCGAACCACGGCTGGCACAGAATTAGGATACAAACTATCACATGAGTTAATCATACCAAGATTAATAGTAACGAAAATAGTTTGCTTTACCTCAAGTCTCTGTACAATTTCTCTGATATCATCTGCACAGCTTTCCATAGCAGACAGCAGGACGCATTCTCCTCTTTCATAAAAAATCTTTATGGTCATTAAACCAGAGGTCCAGCCAATGACATCCCTGCATGAGCAATTAAACACCACATTTTTGGAGTCTTGCTCTACAAGAACGATGAATTCATTTGAGATTCCGACAATACATTCAATATCATTAGACTGGCCAAAGTCCCGAGCAATGACATTCCACACAATAGCTCCAAAGCTGTACAGCTGCGCATCCTTCCGGGGCTTTGATTTCTCCTTTTTCTTTGCCCCAAGGGTGATGAAACTGAATTTCACCGAAGAGTCAACTGTAGCTGTGGTAACAAAGTTTTCTGCCAAATCTTTCAAGTACTCCTGCCTTGTCCTGGTAGCCATTGCCCGGAACTTGTCAGATTTGTGTGCTGCATTTTCTGCATTGATAACTTTGGCAAGAAGAAAGTCCCTGAATACTGCTGACTTTGGAAAGGTGACTCCTTTGGGAATAGGTGGGCCAAATGGAGGTACATCTTTAGACCTGGATACAGCCACACTGTATGTGTTAAAAGAGATACCACATTAGATTTTTAAATATAAATACTAACTACAGTAGGTACAGTTTGTCACAGAAAAAGAGCATAGAATAAAAGCATAACTGACATAATGCATAGAAATTTATGGAGGAGCAGACTTGGAAAGTATTTCAATCACCATTCACCACCTTTTGGGGAAAAGCATTCCAAAGACTCAGAAAATATTTTTTTCATATCACTCTTAAACTTATTTTTGAACTGTGACTCGTAGTTCTAGAGTTTCCTACAAGCAAACATATTCCTTCCACATGCACCCTGTCATGATCTCTCAGGATTGTGTGTTTCAGTCTTCTATATGCTTATGAACACGGGCCTAACTTGTCCCAACATTTCTCATAATACGACCCGCCTATTCCAAGTATTAGTCTAGTAAAAACTTTCCTGAACTGTTTTTAATGCATTTACATCCTTCCATAAATAAGGATACCAGTACTCCAGATGTCATCTGACCAATGTCCTGTGTAGCTGAAGCATAACCTCCCTTTTTCTCACTTTCAATTCCTCTTGCATTAAATAATAATATTCTGTTAGTTTTCCTACAACCTTACTGTACCTGCCATCTAATCTTTTTATGACTCATGGACAAGGACACAGATCTCTCTGTATCTCAAGAGTTTTCCAATCTCTTACCATTTAGATAAAATGCTTCTTTTGTATTCTTCCTATCAAAATAGACGATTCCATATCTACTCACATTATATTCCATTTATCAGATTTTTGCCTACTCACTTAGCTTATCCATATCCCTTTGTAGGTGCCTTTTGCCCTCTTCATTTATCTAACTTTGCATCATCAGCAAATTTACCAACCATTCCTTAGGTCCCTTCATCTGAGCCATTTATGTAAGTTGTAAAATATTTAGGCCTTAGCATTGTTTGCTGTTGAATACCATGTTGCATTTTGCCAACTAGTGAAAAACCCTTTAATTTTTACCTTCTCTTTCCTGTTATATAGACAATCTACTTTCCATACCAATATGTCACCCTACACAATGAGAAGGTGCATTCATAATGTGGCCAAATAGGTTGATTACCAAATTACAAATCATTCCAACACACTCTAAGGAAAAGTAGGAGAGATTCCTGTCAGGAATGTGATGGAAAGAAAGCTGGAGCCTGTACCATCATTACCCATTACCTCCAGACTACAAAGTGCATGTAAAAACGTTGACAGTGTTTCCATGGCAAATTGGCCCCAATATTTTGTAACACAGCTCCACACGCCATTAATATGCTCATTATCAATTAATTTTTGTTTCTTAAAATTACTCTTTTTTAAAAAATGATTTTATGGGATGTAAGCCAGTATTTATTGCCCAATCCGAATTGCTTTGGAGAAGGTGTTTGTGTGCTGGCTTCTTGAACCGCTGCAGTCCTTAGAGTGTAGATACACCCACTGTGCTGTTAGAAAGAAAATCCTTAGTAGTTAAATACTCAACTTTCTCAAATACTCCGTCTACAAATTCCCTGTGAATGGAAAAATGGAAACAAATGCCCTGCCTGCAAAAATAGTAGACTCGCCAACTTTAAGGGCATTTAAATGGTCATTGGATAAACATATGGATGATAATGGAATAGTTTAGGTTAGATGGGCTTCAGATTGGTTTCACAGGTCGGCGCAACATCGAGGGCCGAAGGGCCTGTACAGCGCTGTAATGTTCTATGTTCTACGTTCTATGTTCAGAGGCACTGAAAAGTCAAATCCTCAACCACTGAATGCAAGATTGACAATCAGTGTATCCACAAACTTGTGCTATCAGCAAAGCGTTAAAAGGAATTGAAAGGTCCTAAAGAAAACAACTCATAAACGTTTGTGATTTGGACTGGTCTCAGAAGTGCAGTTCTGACTTAATTTCCTCCCACCAATAGTGCGTGTCTTGTCTTGTCTCTTTCAGTATCTATTAGTATCTGTATGTGTTCAGGAATTCTGAGAAAGAGTAGAGTTTAAGTTAGAGTTATAGATTAGCAATTCAACTTGTCTTTTTTCCATTGGTTAAGAAGTTTGGTTACTGTAAATAGTTATTTTTCTTTCTTAATAAACAATATCTGATGTACACATTTTTTTCATCTCAATTAAACGTTTAGATAAAATTGGTTAACTTGGCAGTTTAGTTAAATGTTCACAATTGTGACAACTCTGGGAATAGTGAGGCTTAATTTCCAACGTACTACTCCAGTGAGTTATGGCACTATGCATCTGCTTCCTTAGTCCTTTGCAATGGTCGCAATTGCATTTTGGAAGGTTCTGCCAGAGGTGCCTTGCTGTGTTACTGCAGTGCATCTTGTACACATTGCTGTCATTGAGCATTAGTGATGGATAGTGTGACTTTTGGAAGGTTGTGGATGGACTGTTATCCTGGATAATCTCAAGCTTCTTTAGTGTTATTGCCCTTAGCCAGGCAAGCATCACACTCCTGTATGTGCCTTATAGCAGGCAGACATGCATTGGGAAGACAGGATGTGAGTTATTCACTGCAGAAATCCTAGCATCTGATGTATCCTCCCAGTCACAGTATTTAGAGAGGCTTAGTCCAGTTTAGTTTCTAGTCAATGATAACATCCAGAATGTTAATAGTTAGGGTTTCAGCAATGATAATGCTACTGAATTTCAAGGGGCGGTGGTTAGATTCCCTCTTGTTAGAGATGGTCATTGTCTGGCACATATCAGCCTAAGCCTGGGTATTGTCCAGGCCTTGCTCATTGTGAACACGGACTGCTTCAGTATCTGAGGAGTCACAACTGGTGTTAATCATCATACAACCCTCAGTGAATATCTCTACTTTTGACCTCATAATGGATGGAAGGTTATTGGTGAAGTAGCTAAGATGGTTGGGATAAGGAAACTACTCTGGGGAACACCTGCAGGAATGTCTGGTGATTCAGATTATTTACCTCCAACAACACAACCATCTTCCTTTTCTCTAAGTATTACTCCAATCAGCGAGATTTTACCCAATTCCATTGACTACAGTTTTGCTAGGGCTCCTTTTACTATACTTGGTCAAATACTATCTTAAATTTAAGGTCAGTCACTTTGACCTTGCCTCTGGAGTTCAACTCTTTTGTCCATGTTTGGGCCAAGGCTGTAACGAGAACAGCAAGTGAATGGCCCTGGTGAAACACAAACAGCGTCAACGAGCAGATTATTCCTGAGCGAGTACTGCTTGATGGCATTATTGATGATGCCCTCAATTACTTTGCTGATGATCAAAATTAGATAACATGGTGCTAACAGGCTGGGTTGGAACTGTCCTGCTGTTTGGACACCAGGCATACCTGGGCATTTTTCCACACTTTCAGGTACACGTTTTAGAGTCATACAGCACAGAAACAGACCCTTCAGTCCAACCAGTCTACGTTGAACATAATCCCAAACTAAACTCGTCCTACTTGCCTGCTCCTGGCCCATATCCCTCCAAACTTTTCCTATTCATGTACTTTTAAACATAATTGTGCCCACATCCACCACCTCCTCAGGAAGTTCATTCCACACGCAAACCACCCTCTGTGTAAAAAAATTGCCTCATGTCTTTTTTGAAATCTCTCTCCTTTCACCTTATAAATGTGCCCCCGAGTCTTGAAATCCCCCATCGTAGGGAAATGACATCTACCATTAGTGCTATCTGCACCCTTCATAATTTTATAAATCTCTATAAGGCTTAAACTCCTATGCTCCAGTGAAAGAAGTCCCAGCCTATCCAGCCTTACTTCATAACTCAAACCTTCCGTACCCAGCAACATCCTGGTAAATCTCTTCTGAACCCTCTCCAGCTTAATAATATCCTACCTATAACTCGGCAACCAGAACTGTATGACGGAAACTTCAAAGAATTATGTACCTGAACTCCTAGGTGCCTCTGTTCTACAACACTACTCAAGGTCTTGCCATTAATTGTATAAATCCTGCCCCTGTTTGTTGTTCCAAAATGTAATACCTTGCATTTATCTAGATTGAACTGTATCTGCCATTTTCCAGCCCATCGACCCAAGTCTGACATAGCTATATGGGGAAAGCTTGGTAAGGCTAAGTTATGGAATACAAATCGTCAGTACTGCTGCCAAATCTTGTCAGGGCCAACAACCTTTGCAGTGTCCAGTGTCTTCAGCCTTTTCTTTAATCATGTGGAGTGAATCAAATTGGCTCAAAACTCACATCCTGGTGTTTCAGGTGGAGGCTGAAATGGTTTATCCACTCGGCACCTCTGGTTGAAGATGGATATAAATACGTCAAAGACAAAAAGATTTGTCTTTTTCACTGCTGTAGTGTGCTCTCCCTTCATTGAGCATGAGGATATTTGTGGAGCCTACACCTCTAGCCAGTTGTTTAATTGTCCACTACCATTCACAACTGAATGTGACAGGATTGCAGAGCTTAGATCTGATCTATTGGTTTTGGAATTGCTCAGCACTGTCTATTGTATAACTTACAATGACTTTTGGAGATTTCAAAATAAAAATGATCTCCATGTAAAGGTATAATGCTTGATGTTATTTTCTCCTCAATATTTTCTTTTACTGTTTCTCACTTAATGCTTTCTGGAGCTCTTCCCACAACTGTGCTCCATTTGATTGGGATTTTTTTTTTGCCTTAGTCTTTCATTACAATTGCAAACTTACTGGAACTCCGATTTTTTTATCCATTTACAGTTCAGTTCTGCCTGAGTCTAAGATTACCATTTGCCTTAACAAATGGATCCAATCACAATCCTACTCCTTCCATTTAAGAGTCTAGTTGACAGCATTTGAACAATTTTTTAAAAAACTATTATTATTAGTTATCAACTCCACATTCATCTCATCCAGATCTTGCTGGCAGTCTAGTTTCACAATGCAACCAATGGCAAAGCCAGATGGGCACCCAATAAATTGCAGGCCCCATCACACATTCTATTTCTTACATGAAATATTGCTATGGTGTTAATTTAAGAACAGCTATTTACTTAAAAAAACAACTCTCCAAATTCATCCAACGACAATATGAGTACAGGAGAAAATGTCTGTACTGTAGTTATTTTCATCAATCTATTTGGACATGTCATAACACACCTCAAAGGCAGGTAGGACTTAAACCCAGACCTACTCGCCCAGGTATCGAGATACTCTAATTTCTCTATTATAAACAACATAGAAATAAAAGATTAATTGGTGATACTGATTTATCAGATTCTCTGATCAAACTTCATCTGTTTTCTTTGCTTTTTAAAATTTCCTACCTACAGTATTTTCTCATTAGTTTTCCCGTTTTCCAAAGGCATCAAGTCTGGCAGTCACAAATCTGCTACCTCCCCAGAATTCCTATTTCATGACCAAGCCTGACTGCAAGTATTAAATAAGATATTCAGCCACATAGTGTGTCATAGCTAAGCTCTTTTATTCCCTAAATCATTGATGGGATTTGGGTGTCAGTGCTTATTGGTTATCCCTAGTTGCCATTGAATTGGTAATTCACTGCTTCCTTGAATTGCTGTAGTCCATGTGTTGAAAGGACCAATATTGTCTGGTGCAGCTTTCCAGGATTTTGTCCAAGACAGGATGGTGTGTAACTTGGAATGGAACTTAGAAGTGGGGGTGCTTCCATAAACATGCTGCAGTTACCTTTTTAAGTGGTAGAGATCTTAGTTTCAGGAAGTGCCACCTTAGTAACATGCTTGAAGTGCATTTTGGAAAGGGTACACACTACAGATGGTGCATGTAGTCAATGTTTAAGGTGGTGGGATCAGTGTCAGTCAAGAAGGTTGTTTTGTTCTGGATGGTGATGAGCTATTTGAGTGTTGTTGAAGAATAAGAACTTCATCATGCTCCTGAAATAAGCCTTGTAGATGGTGAAAAGATTATGGGGAGTCACAAATACTTTCCTCTCAGCTTAACTCCCAAGAAACATTTATGCACATAAAATATTTTAAAATCCCTGTTCTAGCTTACGAAAAATAGAAAGCCTGCCAACAAAATTATGCTAAATTTTAACAAGTAAATGGATGCAGTTTCAGAAAAAAAGATATTTGGACTTTAAAAAACTGTTAAAATCACAATTAAACCTACCATCGTATTGGCTGACAAATGATAACCAATCAAGGTCAATAAGATGGCCACTTCAAGACAGAATCACAGACATTTCCAGGAAAGCCACAAATATTGTTAGATTTAACTTTTGGTAATGCATCCACTCAGAACACATAACCAAACCACATTTTCACCATTAGCAGTGATGTTATGTTGTTACTGCAAAATGAATAATGGCTCATTCTAAATGGACTGTACTCTTTCAGAAGTGGAGACATTAGTTTTAAAGACCATTTAATTTAGCACAAAATCAATTGCCATTGAAAACAAAGATAAAAGAAATGCTTTGCAACAAAGTTAATAGGTTTCAGTTGGGTGAGATTCATCTCTAAGCAAGGAAGTAAGATATGGGTTAGTAGAATATAGATAAAGGGAATTAATTACACCTTCAGCACCCTGATCAAACTGGACGTCATGTATACATGCGAAGTATCATGAAATTAAGTCTAAATTGACACTCAGTTCCTCATAGCAGTAGTGGAGGAGAACATTTTTCTCTGCACTACTTGTAAAATTGTAAAATCTGAAATAGGCTTAGAATTTCATTGCATACAGCACAAAGAGAAAAACTCTCTCTATAGTATATTGCTCCAAGATCAGTAATAGGTACAGAGCAGGGAGGCCATTTGGCCAATAAAACACATCCATTATAGAAACTAAGAGTCCCCACCATCAGAGCATCTAAATACCTTTTGAGCTACTCCATGAAGTTTGCTTTGCTGACTGTATTGAGAAAGCCAAGTCAGATATTGATCACTCTCAACATCAAGAAATACAAATCACATAAGTCCTAATCTTGTCTGTCATTATTTGGTACCCACATTGTCCTTTCTGCAGTCATGACTCAATTTGAAACTGTTCGAAGACTAAACTGTCCAGTTCTCTATCAATTATCACTTTTCAATACTCAGGATTTTGTTTCTATGGATCAGCTTAGTCGTTCTTCTATGCATCATTTTTAGGACTCTTATGGTTAAGATCAACTGGCTAGAGCATCAACCTTGGATGAGCAAGTTTACTGTTGTACAGGACTGTAGGTTAAAAATCTAGTCACCTTATTACTAACTACAATTCACAAGTTCATGGGATCAGTAAATTTACTTTATATTTTGCTGACAATATGAAGCTAAACAGCTGATTTTTGCCCTAGATGGATTAGATATGGCTATAGCTCAGCCGAGTTGTATTTTCAAAGTTCTTTCACTTGATAGCTAGGTTCATTCAACACTATATGAAATACTATTAAGCATACTCATTGCTTCAGCTCTTCCAAGTGCACAGGTTTTATTTTACATCTGTATTAAAAGTCAACTACCATTGTTTACTGGCAAATATTACCATAAGCCTCTTCCAATGCCTACGCTACTCCAGCATTCTTCTATTAAGACGAAACTCATCTGTGAATTTAGCAAACTTACATTGAGTTTCCCAAATCAGATCATTTGAATTGACCAGAAGAACAGCACCAATCATGGGCATCCTGCTCAGCACCTACAAGCATTAATCTTTCAGCACCTACTAAAATTAACTGTTATACTGATCTTTCTGTTGGTACATACCTTACTTATTTCTTCCTAGAATATTCCAGTCGTCTTGAATTACTTGTACTCCATTCATACTATTTTCTTCTAGTCCACCCACTTGGAAAGTTTATTCTGTTTCATGGAATCTACTTCCTTTATCTTCTTTGTGTCTGGCTGTTTGGAGCTGTTCTACGTCCTTTGCTATTTGAAATCTATTGTTTCTACTGTGTTTGTCCAGGGAGCGCATGTTGCTGTGCCATCATGTATTTCTATACGGAGTTTTGGATAGTAATAGCAAAGATGGCAATTCTCTTTCCATCAAATGGCTGAACAGGAATCTCTCTCACTCTTACTGCTTGCCATTGCTGAATGTTGGAAAGATGTGCAGGTTGATAATCAACCTGTTTGGCCATTTTATGAATGCATCATTTTTGGTCATCAAGTCCTGGGGTAGAGATGCTACCCAGTGCAATACAAGACCTCCCAGATATGGTATAATCCTGCACCTACCAGTGGTATGCATTTTACTTTAGAAACTATTAAATTATTCTCTGCAAGACGTTTATTTGATTTATCACTCAAGTATGTCCGACCACGATGTAGACCAGTGTTGGTCAACTTGAAAAAAAAGGACATGCTATTAGCTCATGCTATTAGTGAAATATTGGACACCTAATAGCGAAATTACTTTGCATAATATTTGTAATACAACAACAGGCCGATTGATTCAACGGGCTTTATCAACACATCACTCCCTGATTTGTATATCTAACTACCCCTCAGATTCAACCATACCTCTCAACTACCCCTTCTTGTGATCCATGTTCTCACTACTTTAAGTAGAGAAGTTTCCCCTGAATTCCCTACTGAACCTATTAATAAACATTTTATTCAAGGCCCCCAGTTTTGGTTTCCCCATACATGGAAACATCTTCTGTGTGTCAATCCTATCAAACCTCTATCACGTCATCTCTTGGCTTTCTCCTGCCAGAGAGAAAAAAAAAATAGCCTGTTAATGTGTTCCAATACATAACTCCTCTTCGTGCTGGTCAAATTAGTTTTGCACTGCTCCAATCCTTACATAGATATATATATAAAATATGGAGATCAAAATAGTTCACAGAACTATCTTTCTATCTATCTTGAAAGTATGAATCAATAGTGAATTGTTCAATTCCAAATACGGTTGAAACACCCATATTCTCATAAGGCAATGCTAATTACTGGTTGGGCTAACTTGATTGATAAACCTCTGCTGAGCAAGAAACAAAAACCATAAAGACAGCATCTATCATTTTAGATAAATAAGATGTGGCTCATCAGTTCAACAAAATATGAAAGAGTAATGATGATAGATGTAGAGAAGTCTGCAGTCAAGATCATTTTGCTCATGGCTGAAAAGCAAAGCACCATGATCATACTCAAAAGAATCACTTGATGAAATGAAGATCTTGCAATCATTTAGAAATGACAAAGCTAATTTCTTGAGGGGTCAGCTGATTGTAAAGCAGCATTTTCAGCTAAATACATACCCGATATTTGCAACTTCAAAAACGATGAGCAGGAGAAAAGCTCCATTTAGGAAAAATACATAAGGTGAAAGAGGAGGTCAAAAGCACTTCAGTAATAAAACCAAAAGTAACTATGTGGATGTTGAGTGCTTACCTGTAGCAGACATTCTCTGTGCATGGATTATGAACTCTGACAATGACAAAAACATGTTGAAAGTGGGATCTGATGTTTCTGGGAGTGAAAGGAAGTGCTCCGGGCTCTTGAAAGACAATTGTGACTATGTCATTTCCTATGTGTCTCTTCCTTAAGAGCTAGGGGAGTATAGAAACAGAAATCTAGTTAGCCAAGTTTGAACAGCACAGATTTAGTGCTGTTTCTAACTATTGCAATCCAGTTAAAACCCTCTCCAAAACTTTCCAACTGTGATTAATGCTTAAAATTAGATCATTATTTTCACATGTAAATAAATCAATTTCTCTAATTTTAGACACATTTCTTTCCAACTAGTAAAACAGAAGCAGCAAATGTATTGGTAAAGATTATTGGATCATTTGAGACTCCAATGTGCCATCTTTCGGGGTCGAGGTGTTAACCCAAACCCCTCTACCTTCTCTGGTTCAGTCTATTGTGCTGGTTTTTAGGTTATGTTGTTGATTTGCATCATCAGCATTTTTAAAGAAGTCAGCTTTTCATAGTTTTTAGTTAACACTTCTGGAAAAGATACTCCATATAAAAAGGAAGTATTTTACAGAAAGACAACTCCAAACAGCTGCATCATTTTAATTATGCTTTTCAACAGAGTGCTGAAGCGACTGAAGAACATTTATACGTAACAGTGGACGGGAATATGACAACTTCAGCCTTTTAAGAGATTAAGTGGTTGAAACTCAGTCTCTTCAAACATTTTATTCTACAACTAGTTCTTAAACCCAGGAAATGGTCTGTTCTGTAATGTGGCCTATAGTAACAGCTAAACTGGGGTGGGGGTCCTAGAAACAATATGTCAGCAAGACAAATCATCTTTGAAAAGTGTTCACTTAAATATTGCACAAGTTACAAGTATGAAAATTTACCATAAAATTTTCAGCCACCACCAAAGAAATTTAGTTGATCCATTTTTTCAGCTTTTGGATGAAATGATATGCTGCAAACTACCAAATCGAGTTTGGAAAAGTCCAGATGTAAATCTTACGCAAAAATACTTGTTCTACTTGTTCTATCATGGTATTGGTCATGATTTTGCTTGCCCACGCTCGTTAAAAGCAATATATTAATTGTGCTTTTGCAGTAATTTGGAGCCTCAGCTTACATCTTTTACAAGTTCACACCTTTCAAATCCTGATTAATCAACAATTAAGCTATAGCATGGATACACACCAACTCTGCAGCAACTTTTCTGAATAAATTCATGCTGTTTCATATCTAATTTTAACTCAGTCAATTGTATAACCATCTGCAGCCTAATGCTTCCAAGGAGGAATACACAGGTACACTGAATGAGGTCTGACCTAAGTTGGTAGTGAAGTTATTCCTGTGGCAGATTGAGTTTTAAGACATTTTTTTTGCCTTTGGTACCACATCCTCATGGGATAAGTTGTGGTACTTAGTTAACAGATCACTATACATAAATACACAAGATTACAAAAGATCAAAACGTTAGGACTCTATGGAAGGCCATAACTTGCAATCCTTAAGAGATGGTTAGAATTTTATTGTTTCTAAATCTGCTTGGGGTCTGTGCAAAGCCCCTCTAAACTAATCACCGTGATATAAGATGCATTTTTGTCCTTGAGGAAATGAGTCTCCCTCCAGCTGCTTCATTAATAAAATCCCTGGATAACTTCTCAATGAAATACTTGATGTCGATAACAAATAAAGAAAACTGAAAATTTGGGTTAAAATGTACAATTTAAGAACTTCCAGCCAATTATGAGCCACTCTGTAAACCTGATATTTCACAAAGCCATGCAGGTTCTACACATCCACACTTTAATTAACATGAACCACATGTTATAAATACAGGCATTTCTCCCTAACTAAAACAGTTAGAAAATGGCTTATTCTTCTTTTCATTGGTGAAAATTATTTTGGGTGGAAATAGAAATGGGCTTCAAAAAGGTTTTACTGAACTGTTGCGAATATCAGGTTACATTTGTTTGCATTCAGATAAATTAGCTTTACTCCAGGAGGACGGTATCGTTGTTTATTTCTTCCATTACCCATATCTTTGTGTTTTTAAGAACAAGAACAAAGAACAAAATTACAGCACTGGAACAGGCCCTTCGGCCCTCCAAGCCTGCACTGACATGCTGCCCATCACAACTAAAACCCCTTACCCTTCCGGAGACCGTATCCCTCTATTCCTGTCCTATTCATGTATTTGTCAAGACGCCCTTTAAAAGTCACTATCGTATCTGCTTCCACTACCTCCCCCGGCAGCGAGTTCCAGGCACCCAACACCCTCTGTGTAAAAAAACTTGCTTTGTACATCACCTTTAAAACTTTGCCCCTCCCACCTTAAACCTACAGCTCCTAGTTACTGATACCTCCACCCCGGGAAAAAGCTTCTGACTGTCCACTCTGTCCATACCCTTCATAATCTTGTAGACCTCTATCAGGTTGCCCCTCAACCTCCGTAGTTCCAGTGAGAGCAACCAAAGTTTCTCCAACCTCTCCTCATAGCTAATGCCCTCCATACCAGGCAACATCCTGGTAAATCTCGTCTGTACCCTCTCCAAAGCCACCACATCCTCCTGGTAGTGTGGCGACCAGGACTGAACTCAATATTCCATATGTGGCCTAACTAAGGTTCTATAAAGCTGCAACATTACCTGCCAATTTTTAAACTCAATGCCCCGGCCGATGAAGGCAAGTGTGCTGTATGCCTTGTTGACAACTTCCTCCACCTGCGTTGCCATTTTCAGTGACCTGTGTACCTGTACACCCAGATCCCTCTGCTTATCAATACTCTTAAGAGTTCCACCATTTACCGTAAACCTTCCATCTGGATTAGACCTTCCAAAATGCATTACCTCACATTTTTCCGAATTAAACTCCATCTGCCATCTCACTGCCCAAGTCACCAACCGATCTATATCCAGGTGTATCCTTTGACGGTCCTCATCGCTATCCAGAATTCCACCAACCTTTGTGTCATCAGCAAACTTACTAATCAGACCAGTTACATTTTCCTCCAAATCATTTATATATATATTACAAACAGCAAAGGTCTCAACAGTGATCCCTGAGAAATGCCACTAGTCACAGCCCTCCATTCAGAAATGCACCCTTCCACTGCTACCCTCCATCTTCTCTGACTGAGCCAGTTTTTAATCCATCTTGCAAGCTCACCTCCGACCCCGTGCGACTTTACCTTCTGTATCAGCCTGCCATGAGGGACCTTGTCATAGGCCTTACTGAAGTCCATGTAGACAATATCCACTGCCCTACCCTCATCGATCATCTTCGTCACTTCCTCAAAAAACTCAACCAAGTTAGTGAGACACGACCTCCCTGTCACAAAACCATGTTGTCTCTCACTAATATGCCCACTTATTTCCAAGTGGGATAAATCTATCTCAAAGAATCCTCTCCAATAATCTCCCTACCACTGATGTAAGGCTCACTGGCCTGTAATTAGCTGGATTATCCCTGCCACCCTTCTTAAACAAAGGAACAACATTGGCCACTCTCCAATCCTCTGGGACATCCCCTGTAGCCAGTGAGGATACAAAGATTTCCCTCAAGGCCCCAGCAATTACCTCCTTTGACTCGTTCAGTATTCTGGGTATATCCCGTCAGACCCTGGGGACTTGTCTACCCTTTTCTCCATGGTCCTGAGCTATTTGGTGAACGTGCACCTATGAGGTTATAAGATGCCACAGGAAAAATGCTTTAAAACTAATTCTGCGCAGGGCTGAATTCACTATCAATTTAGGTTCATTTCTGGTGAATATACCCAGCAGTATTTTGCTATATTACACTTCTCTTTACATTCTCTGACTACATGCCTCAAACTCATAACCTGTTGCTTTTGTTCTCAAACTCTAAGTAAGGTAATTAGCCATAAACAAAAAAACTATTAACTTCTCTCTCTATTGGAAAGAAACAATTTGATATATATAGCTTGAGGGGCATCACACCACAGAGGTGGGGAAAGGCAAGGAGCCAGACGTCCATGAACTACTACTAGCATTTACAGTATTTTTGTAAAGACTGGCCCATGACAAAGGTGCTTGAATATACCTCCTTTGCTAATACCACAGGCTCATATTCTTGTGGTATCTCCACACACCATACATTTGCCCAAATTTTTGTTTTATGCCTTCTTTCTTCTATAGATTCAAGCCCACATCACCATTCCCCATTATTTGTAGATTTCTAAACCCATATAACAACTGAGCTAACAAGGTGTAGAGCTGGATGAACACAGCAGGCCAA